TCCTTCATAGTTCTCTAGAAGAGAGAAACAAGATACGAGATGGAATCCTATACATGGGGCAGGGCACACAGCAACCCACTATCCCCCACCAACTTTGGCTTCTGAGCATTAAGAAACAACCCTCCCTAAACCAACGAATATTCACTGCCACAACTGATATAATGTTATGTTCATGAACAAGAACATCTGACTTACCCTATTCAGATAGGATATACTCTGTTCAATATTCTCTTCTGTGCAGAAGGCACTGAAAAAGGTGTGCATGCTTTTGGATGAAGGCAGTGGCAAGCGTAGCACTTGTGTGTTTAAGCTTGGGGGAGACATCTTTTTTTCTGAGGTATACTGAAAAATATTTTTGCTATCTAGAAGTTAAAAATATTAAGAATATGTCAGGACTAATTGTTTAAGACGCACAAATTCCTAACTATCAGAATTATTATTTACTGGAATTCAGAAGGTGAAAGTTTAGAATTTCATCTAGAATTCAGAATTTCAGATATTAAGCAGTTGAACTGGGTAGGTATACTTTCATTGAAAAGTGAAGACCCAACATCATTTTAAGATATTATAGCTTTTAAATTTTACACCTCCTCCAAGAAAAGGCTCCAGCCTTCCTTCCCAACTGGCTGGCTAAGCAGCACAACTTCCTTTACAGGTGAAAGTTTTGTAGATTTATTAAGAATTTTTATGGAATACATGCAGGCATATTCTTATTCACATTGTGTGTGCTAAAATCTATTGTTATTTGATAGAAACAGCCAAAAAATATTTTACTCCTTTAATACAGAGCAAAAGCAAATCTCTGAAAAGGGGAGATACTCTGAGAAGCATGAATTCTTAGAACTTTCATACATATGAAAGAATAGTATTTTTCACTGGCAATTCTGTAAGGACTCAAACCAAAACAAAGCACTGTACGTACTATTCACTATTTAACACTGCATTAAAATTCAACAATGTCCTGTATGAAAAAGCTCTCTCTCTAACAACTATAATTCCACAGGTAAAGTTATCAAATCTTTTAATTCAGAATATTGGCATTTTACCTGATGACGACGCTGGCACAGTAATAGTCTTCCAATCTCCCATAGCAACAAAGACAGGCAGGGTACCTGAGCAGTGAAGAACTTAGTACAACTGCTGGCTATAGCTGTTACGTAGGCATATCCTAAAATAGCAGCAGCATTTTAGATTAACAGTAGCATCTAATACAGTTAGAAGATTAAAGCAGGCATAACAGAGACACTGCTGGATTTAAACCATGTGAACTTTTCCTACCTCTTCTATACAAATCTTTACACAGCATTTGTACAGCAAGTACAATGAACACTATGTTGTAAAAAATGATGTACCTGTCCATACTTAGCCTGAAACTTAAGGAAGTCTTATAAAATATTAATTTAAGCTAAAATGCCATGCACACACTAAGAGAACAAAGACTCACTACATAGATAACTTACACCTGCATTGCTGCTGTTTAACATTACAGAAAACACAGGCTGAATATTCTGCCATATAAGCAGGAACTATTACAATAATCTTAAGTAAAATTTTATAAATCCATCTCAGTAGACTTATCTAAGGAAAGTGACAATTTAGGCTCTAGAAAAGATTTACTAGCAGAGAAAGAGCAAAGCACCCTATAATAAACATTTAACTGTTTACATTTAACTCAATCTGTACATTTAGCTAGACTGCCTTCCCTTGGCAAGCTGTTTGTTTTCATCAGCAGTTTTAAAGATTTGGCAAAGTAGCAAGAGGAGAAGCCTTACCCCATTGGCACAGCCACTCAGTACAGCACTGGCCCTCTAGAGACCAAAGAGAATTTGCTCATAAGAGAATAAACTGATTCCCTCAACCTGTCTGCACCTCCCAGTAAACGGCACATAACAGTATTAGCGTATCCACACTGGGAAAGCCAGGCTAGACTTGTAAAATCTGGACAGCATAACCCTTCTGCTGTCACATGAACACCAAGGCTTTGGACAAACAGATAAACTTCTCACCTCATAGGAAAGATGACTCCCTCTTTTCAATTACCAGTTTGGATCAAATTCCAGAAGCAGTTTTAGATGTGCTCTGTAGGTTTTTAGAGCACAGGGATATTCCTCTCCCTCTCCCCCAGCATGCCCTGATAAATGCACTCTGAATAAGGTGCACTGATAGTAAAACCTTTTTTTTCCCCACAATGATAAAACTCTATCACTTAGAAGAGCAATCTGCTGTCTACCTAAGTGACTAGGCTATTGTGGATGGTCTGTTATTCAAAAAGTCTCCTGAGAATACAAATGGAGGCAGAAAGAATCCTTAGTGAAATGCCAGAGCACAACCACACAACACCCAAACCAGCACCCAGTTGAGAGATCACAGGCATGTTACAAAAGTTTGAGCACTAGAAGATAAAATATCCTGGAAGAGTATTTCTCCGGGTTCACATACTTAACTGGGAGAAAGGTAAATAACTATTACTCAGATGATTTGAAAGCTTATGGCAACTACTAGATTACATGCCAGGAAGTACATATGACAACATGACACACACTAAACATTTTAAGGATCTGGTGGTAGTTCTTGTTTAAGAATTTTGGGGTTTTGGCCTTCTTTCTGTTTGCTGAATTGTTCTTTTTAAAAAAAAAAAATCTCCTCTTTTTTCCTGTAGAACCAGATGGCCAGACATGTCTTAAGTGAAGACTGAGCTTCTAAACACAATTACTGATTTCAGGGCAAGAATCCGTAAGGCAATTGCTTCTTTCATCACCTATTTAAATTAACTTTAAAAAGGTAACTCTAACCGAAACTAAGGATGAAAAGGACACACTACCTACATTTTAGCTTGGCTTCTGCTGGATCCATCAGATACTGCCCTGCAAACAAAAGGGGAAAAATGCAAATTAAACCACAAGCATATTCTCATTACTGCCACTGCAATCTGCATTCTAATAAGGAATTTCAAAAGGTTCCCAAGAAACTCAAGACATACAAACTCCATTAAGGACTGCTACAAATTCCACAAAAATACTGCTCACATTTCAGATATCCGATTACTCCCAAATAACCTGTTTTTTTATTCTTTAAGAGGTCACATACCCATTGTGAGATCTTATCACCCAGACTCCTGCAAAGTAAAAGTTTGCCAACCCACAGGACTTTCTGCAGTGACAATATTATTCTGACACAGATTTGCGAGTGCTAAACTCAGAAACTTAACCAATGGCCAAAAGTATCTTAAACTGTTATGTGGCACAAGGAGAGTGCACTAGCTCTGAAGTGGCAATCGTTTCAGACAGTGGTCAGGGTTTTATCCTTGAATCATCCCTACTTGCTGCCTTTAGGATTAAGCTCAGGTGCGTGGAAAACGACAATGCCCACATTAGCTGCAAAAGGAAAGGCCAGAAATCTGTTAATCCCATGCTAAAATCATCCTATCAGCTCCATGTGGCTGCCCTGCCAGTGCAGGGCTTCAGCCATGACCCTTAAAGCTGTCTGCTGATTAAGATCCATCAGATAAATCTTCTTCACAATCTAGGCAGTTCCTCTGGAACAACACAGCTCGAAAGAGCCTAGCTGAAGTATGTGAGAGTTAAAGATGAGCACTACTGATCAAGACTGGGGGGAGGCAAAATCCATTTAGAAGCACTGTATTTAGAAGGGACTCTTCTCTGATACCACACTACAAAAAAAAGGTTTTTGTTTTAAACCAACTGTAATGTTGGAAGGAACATACTAAAGAAGAGATGGAAAACATGCAGTACTGAAGCAATATTTCTTACTACTACTGCATAAGAATAAAATACTATAAAATGTTTAAAATTGCTTTAGAGTAGTGCCTCAAGGCTATCCTAGTTAAAACAGAAAGGTTTTAACTAGGGAAAAGTACTAGGAAGCAGATGTGTGCATGTGTGTTTATGCACACGAGTGCTAAATGATTTTTTTTAAACCTTGGATGGGAAAATAGGTGGTAATAAACTATTAAAAAAAAAAAAAAGATTAATCTTTACTGTTTCTCAGCATCTGATAGCAAAAATCTGGTTGACCCCAGGGGTGGGAGGAGAGAGAAGAGAACAGGCCACTAAACAGCCAAAGCTGCTGTAGCTACTCAATGATTTGATTTACGGACTCAGCTCTGTACACAGGGATTTGCTGCAGTTATTTCACCAACAGGTTTGACCGCTTGTGCAAAAAGCTGTAGTGACACTGTGCGTGCCAGATGCAGCCGTGCCAGCTGGCAGGGTCACCTCCTGTTTCAATCAGGAGACTCCTGGGGTGAACAAGACCTATGTGGATTGTCAAAAAAACAAAAATAATAAAAATTTAAATTAAAAAAACACTCTAGGGACCAATTTCGCATGTATGAACCTGATGGCAGAGCTATCTCACCGCAACTAAAAATCTAAAAAGGAAACATCCCAATAAACTATTTATGCTAAAATCACAGAGGGCCTGAGTGAAGATCAAAACAAAGAGTTCAAGTGTTTAAGCTAGTGAAGCACAAAAACTCAAGAACTTAAAAAGCAACTGTCGAAATTAAATATCAGAATTTGATTCTTAGAAAGAGACCTGAGAAATTGCTTTTCTTATGAAAACATAAAGGACTAATCCCACAAACTCCCACACGCTTCACTAACAAACACATCTTCCTTTTCAAGAATATATTTATACCTTTGTTTCTATGTTTTGGGGGGTAAGGGTGGAATTGATAATGAGAATGTCAGGATTTACAGCAGAAAACTGATTAAATAAGTCTAGAGTTCTGGCAATTCAAAAACCATGAGCAGCAGTAGGATTACCAGCTTTAAAAACAACAGCATATTAGAGATTCTAAACATGAAGTGTAAACTTGAGAAGGAGGAGCTCTAAGTGGGGTTTAAAAACTAGTTCAGACAAACTTGTAATTGAAGAGAACACCTTTCCATTCCAGGATCGTATGGGGTCATATGGTCATTTCTACTCTGCATAGTGTGAGACACAAATGAGAAATGAAGTATACAGTAATTCAAAAACTTTTTTTTCCAAGGTAGAGAGAATTGGTACTTTCCAGATATTTCCAATTGGGAGGGTTTTTTTTTTTTTCCCCTAATGGAAAAACAGCTTGGGAAAAAAAAAAAAAAAAAAAAAAGTGTGAAGGGCAAAAAGAAGTCAGTATCAGTCTGACACTGGCAGTCACAAACAGAAACACACCTTCTTCATATGCTTTTTAGTATCACAAGTTGAAATATGCAGTTAAGTTCCAATTGTAAAATTGAAAAAGAAAATCCCCCAAAACACAGTTAGTATTTTCTTAAGGGGCAAAAACTTCCTTCTGTTAAGATTATATTCTAGAAGCTGTGATTCTGCTTAAAGCTTTTTTTTTTTTTTTTTTCCCCTCCTACTAATCCACAGATACCACACAGATGGCTTTTATCCGGATGAAACAAAGACATACCAGTCTACATAAATTCAGGGTACATTCTAGTCATCATGTTGTAGGTTTAAAAACATATCCTTGATTATAACATAAAAAAAACATAGCTGCCTTTTCATGCAATCACCAGGAAAGTCCATGCATATCCTTCTTCAAATTTTGGCATTTATTCTCTATATAGAGCTGTTTTAATAATACTGTCTATAACTTGCATTAAAACCTATCTTATACTTAGAAGAACTACGTATTTAAAGTATCTCCTTCTATAATCCATCACAGCTTTAGTGACAATACTTTAATATTATGGTTTTAATGATAGGCCTTGTAATCAAAAGGCCCCACACTGATACTGAAGAAGCAAACCCCAAGCAAACTCTCCAACATCTTCGATGGTTTCTCCTCCTTTTCCCGAATTCAATTTTGGCCAAACTTTTCTGTCTCTGCATGTAGAAATCTTCTAAAAAGAATGCAATATTCATTGGGCAACGCCAGCACTAGAAAGCATTCCAGATCTCAGAGATGAAGAAACTCACAAGTTGTTAACAGTAGCGTAAGTTGACTTGGTCAAAAAAAAGGAGGAAGAGAATTCAAAAAAAAAAAAAAAAACACTTTCATTTTTTTAAAAGATTGCCAGGAGATTCAAGGAATGGATGCCCTGCAAATGTAAGGTTGTACTGAGCAAGACAGTATAAAATAGAAGAACAGTGTCACAGGACCAATCTGGTGGATGCCAATAAACAACGCTGACAGATGAAATGTCACTCTTGTAGGAGCAGGGAATGCTAACAAGCTCACCCCAGTGCTCCGCAAGAAGGGACGAGCCAGACAGACCTAGGCAAGACTGCAAAACTTCATTTCCAAAAAGCTTTCCACAGTGTTTCCAACCGCCTTGGATTATGTGGTAAAATACTGGAAAAAGAGCGAATGTGTGCATTTGCAAACATGTGTGCAATTACCAACATTTTATGCTTTTTTTAAAAAAAAAAAAAAAACTGAACTGAAAGATGCCTGAAATTGTAAAAGCAGCATTATTTGAGCTTGTGAAGTATGTGTAACCTTCCTTTTTCTATTTTCTTTTTCATTTTTTCTTTTTCTTTTTTTTTAAATCAATTATGTGAAATCTTTTTCAAAAGCTTTTTTTTTTTTTAATCAATTGTGTGAAATCTTTTTCTAAAATTCTCAACTGTTAATTAAAACAAAAATATAACTTCAGGCAAATACAGATTAAAACAAAAATATAACTTCAGGCAAGGAAATACAAAATAGCTCATCTGAAAGGCTACCTCATGTGACGCCTGTTTATCCCACAGAAGAGAAGATTGAGAGGGGATCTTATCAACATGTGCAAGTATCTGAGGGGATAATGTAAAGAGGATAGAACCACCTCTTCCTGGTGGTGGCCAGTGACAGGACAAGGGGTAACACAGTAAATTCCAGCTCCACTTGAAGAACTTCATTACTGTGAGGGGGACAGGGCCCTGGCACAGGCAGCCCAGAGAGGTTGTGGAGTCTCCTTCTCTGGAGATGGTCCAAACCCACCTGGATGCCACCGGGTTCCCCATGCTCTGGGTGTCCCTGCTGGAGCAGGGGGTTGGACTAGGTGATCTCTAGAGGTCCCTTCCAACCCCAACCCTTCTGTGATTCTGCGTGAACAACTCTTAAACTAAGATGTCAGAGGATTTAATAATCACTAATTATAGAGGGTAAAGGGGAAACAGTAGGAACAAATTAAAGGTGGCAATAAGTGAAAATAAGAGAGTTGCAAAGAAAAATCAAGCAATCTCAGGATCACTATGTCTACTCTCACAGGCACTTAACAGAACAGAACAGGAGAAGAAAGAAAAACATTATGCCACATAAAGCTTCTCCAACATAAACATCATATGAAGTTATATATTCCCCCTTGTAAAAAAATAGAACAGAACTGAATATGGTGCAAAGGTTCAAAGGTGGTCAGCCAGTCCTTCCACTCAAGCAGTTAGTGAGCCCTGTAACTTTTCAACCAGGAGAAGAAACAGAACAAAGGTATGAAAAACACATGCAAAGAGTAAGTATCGCTTCCCTTAACACAACTATGCTAAATTGAATAAAACAATCAATTTAAAAATTTGGAAAATATGAGCATGTTTCCCTCCTACAGACAGCATAAATCGTGGACTCTGATTGCCAAAGGATGTTGCTGAAAATATAACCAGGCTCCAAAAACAGAGAGATAATTAATGGAAAAAAAATATTCATTAACAGCTATTAAGTTAATAGAGAGAAAAAGAGAGTGAGCGGGAATCCATGCTCCAAAATCTCCCAGGTGCAGACTGCGGTACACTGGGAGGATACACGCACTGATCCCACGGCACAGAGCATCTCCCTGGGCATCTGCTGCTGGCCGCGTTCAAGACAAGGAATTGAACCCAACTGGCCTGGTACACGCACGCCAGGGTCCAAATGACGCCCAATTACTGTGTGTCGTCCCCTCTTAAAAATAAAATAAATAAAAAAACAAAATCATGCTTTTCTCCCCAATATCCTCAGAACCTGCCTGTGACATCAATGACATGACTTCATTTTTCTGTGCCTAAGTTTGCTATTGAGATTTACCCGTTGCTTCGGGGCCTCCTGGCCCGGTGGCTCCCCGGGATTCCCACCGCGCACGCGGAGCCGCTCGCGGTCACTACTCGGTGTCCGCGCGGTGCGGGCTCCGGCAGAGCAGGCGACGCAG